CCACAACCGGGCACCCTGATTTGTCTTCTGCATCCTGGTCTGGCCTCCTCCACTCCTGTCCCTGGGACTCCTGCAGCTGGTGCCCCTCCTGCTCCAGGTAGGCCAAGGAGCATTCCACCTGCTGGGGGGGAGGGCTGAAGGCAGCACTGAGCCCCTGGAGAGGGCCGTCCCTGCCCGCAGGCACAGCGGTGCCTGCAGATTCTGATAAAGCAGGCTGGCTCCACCAGCTGTGAAAAGCCCAGCCAGGGGCCCAGCTGCCAGCCCAGCACCAAGGGACACAGCTCCAAGGGGGGTGCCCAGCTATTATCACTACGGGCTCCAGATGTGTGACCCTCCACCTCTAGCTGAACCTGAAACACCAGCTGCTGATGGCTTTGGAGCTCCAGCAAGAGGACCAGGGACACTGTCGTGGAATGCTAGAGAGCTGGGAGGCAGGAGCAGACAGGCTGTCAGGTGAGTCCCCAGGGTCACCCCAGACACCGTATGGAGCAGGAGCTTTAGGAGGGGCAGCTATGGGCTGAGACCCCCAGGTCACTAAAGGCTTAGGTACCTAGGCTATCACAAGGTGGCCCTGCCCACCACACCCTCACATGGGGCAGGGGTGCTGGGTGCCTCCCCTAGAACCTTCAGCTTGCATGAACCTTCACCTTCCTCTCTCCCTGGGGACTGCAGCTTTCACCAGGGGCAACTGGGCCTTGAAGGAAACTGTTCTGTCCACTGAGCTAAAACCAGCCTCTCCCTCCCACTCTCCCTCGGGGGGCCACAGGGACTCCGGTCCTTCCTTTGCCTCCACTCAGCACCTCTAGCCACATCAAACAATGCACTGCACACCTCCAGAGGGCGCCATTCGCGGAGATGACACTGTTCAGCACAGCAGCCCTGTTGGGGACCCAGTTCCCGTCTGTCTCCTTTGGATGCCCCAGACCTTGACAAGCCTTCCTGAGAACATGACCCCAGATGTGAGCACCAGCCCTGAGCATTCTGGAGCTCTCAGCCTGGGAAGAGGACCTTGCTAGCACAGGGGACCTCCTGAGGTCCCCTATGGATAAGCAAGGAAGATCAGGGAGGGAAGGATGGACGCCTCACTTTCTGCTCCTGATTGAGGAGCTCACCCCGGGCCCTGCAGAGTCCCAGCTCACATCCCCGCCTCCACAGCACCTGTGCTGGCTGGACATGGCCTCCAGTATTGCCCGCAGGTGGCCAGCCAGCTTGGCCCAGTGCCCCGGCTCTCTACCAGCCATATCCACAGGGCCTTCTCTGAGGGCCTCCCGTCCTGCTCCAGGGCTCTGTCTGAGCACCTGCCAGGAAAGAGGAGCCAGGCTTCAGCCTGGGCCTCAGGCGCTGCCATGCCCACCTTTCCCACACTCACCTGCACCCTTCAGTGGGGCTCAGTGAGCAGGCACAGTCCAGTGGCCAAAAGTGACAGGAGGGCCAGGGGGACCAGATGGGGGCGGGGCATCAGGTCCATGGGGCTCTGCCTCAGTTGGGAGACCCTGGAGCTAGGGCACCAGCTTCTGAGGCCCCTTCAGATATGGAAACTGAGGCCCTGGTGCTGAGCATGCACCTAAACCTGACAACACCTTGGCTCAGGATTTTCCCTGGTGATTCAAATTTCAAATAAAGCATCTGCCTCAACCCCACTAAATAGTTCTCAGTTCCAACAGCTTCTATGAGCCGCAGTGCTGACTCTGGCCCAGCCATTTGCTGAACAACCAAGTTCACCTGGCCCTCCCCGGCTTCAGGAGGGGGAACTGAAGCTCCAAAGGGGACGTCAGTTGCCCCAGGTCATGAAGGGGGTCCACTGCAAACTGGGCCCACACTCCCCGATCCCTGCTGCTCCCCTTCCCAGTATAGGAGTCTGGAAATGGCAGGGGACAGGGAAACATTTTGGGGACACCTTAGTTTAGCTCTAATATAGGGGGTCAGAAGCCCTTAAACCAAGTTACTGCTTCAGTACCCCTTTGGCTTCCATAGCTTTAGCTGGAAGATGGGGGTCCTGAGCCCTAGGCCCCACCCACTTCACCTCCAGGGACTGAGCCTCAGAATCCTACCACTGTCTTCCCACCCATGCACCTGGGCACCAAGCACTCTGCCCCAGCTCTGTGTGAGCACAGGGAGAAAGTACCGAGGAGAGGGTCACTGGGCTGAGCTCCCCCACCCCACTGACTGACTTGCTCACTCACATTCCAGGACCCGCTCCCTGCTCAGGATGGCACTACCACCCATCAGCCCTCTCCCCGCAGACACCTCTTCTCTCTCGACTCCACGCCCACATTCTTGAGGCCGCTTCCAAGCTCTCTCTCCACATTTCACCACCACACAAGGCCTCTCCAAGGTGGACTGTGAGGACTGTCCGCCGCCCCCACCTCCCACACCCTGGCGCAGCGCCCACAACTCCACTCTGGCTGGGTGCTCTGTCTTCCCACTAAAAACAGGCGCTCCCCACAGACCGCCCCCAGCGCTTACTGAGAACCCCAACTCTGCCTGGCTTGGTTGTGGAAGGGCTCATGGTCTGCGGGAGTGGGGAGTGCCACGGGCCAGATGCTGAATTTACAGAGCCTGCGCAGAGAAAGGCACAGCCCCCAGTGCTGTGGGAGCACAGGGAAAGGGAGCCTGATTTTCCCTTGGAGCGCCCAGGAAGGCTTTCCAGATAGGTGACCCTGGAGCTGAAGCTCAAAGGTGAATTAACTGCCCCAGAGAAGGCAAAGATGGATGTGGCAGACGAGAGAGAGAGAGAGAGAGAGAGAGAGAGAGAGAGAGCGCGCGCGCGCGCAAGAGAGAGCGAGAGAGCAAAGGCGGCAGGACAAGGAGGGGATCAGAGGAGCTGGGGCCTGGAGAAGGCAGCAAGCCGAGCCAGGAGCCCAGCAGGGCAAAATGGAGATCACAAGGGGCTCCTGTGGGTCTCAGGTGGCTGGTAGCAGGGCTTAGGGCAGGGGCATTTCTCCGGTTCCCTTGAACTGTGTTGCAGTTCTCGGCCCGCACAGAAGAGGCTTGGTGGGCACAGGATAGAGGCCTGGGGAAAGAGGTGGGTCTCAAGGGGCTGGGGATATGGAGCAAGGGTCCTCTGGAGGTGGCCCTCCGCTTGAACTCCCCAGCCGAGAGCTGCCAAAGTTGCAGCCTTCCAGCACTGGGGGAACGAGGTGGGAGGGTGTGTGTGTGGTGGGGGGAGGGAGTTACCTGTACTTCACCTCAGGTTAGATCTTTCTCCAAGTGCCTGACACTCTGCCTCTTTTTCTCCTAGGTGTGAGTTCTTTCGGGAGCAAAAAGACAAAAGAAGGAAGCTCTAATGGTAGAATCTGAGGCACGGGACAGCTACTGAACTGCAGATTTTGGAGAGGGGGCTGGGAGATGGCTCCTACTCCATTTCAGAGGATGAAAGCGGCTTCCTTACCGGGAGGCAGGGACTCCTGGGTTCCCAATGTGGGAAGGGCTGGTGGGAAGATGCGCCCGACTTACCTCCTCGGAGCCCGGCGCCCAGGGCAGGGCTGGAGACAGGAGCCGCCTCGAGCTCCTCCACCCTCAGCTGCCCACGCGGTCCTGGCTTCTAGGAGCCATGGAAACCGCGGGCCACACCAAGCGGCGGGGGGGAGGAGACACACAGTCCTTTCGCGTCGCTGAGTTGATGAAACCCTGAGGTGAAACCAGGCTGGTGTGGCCGTACACGCCCAGCAAGGGGGCCCGGGCAAGAATGGCAACTCATTACCTTCGGCCCGGAGGCAGGATCCTAAGGGAGCGGGACCGAGGGGCGGGGACAGCCAGGCTCTCGGTCACCCACAGCACACTGGAAGCGCCTTCTGAATTTGTTTGGGGGGCGGGTGCATTTGGTTGGAAGGAGACCGGGATCCGTTCTTGAGGCCACAAGAGCGTAGCAAGCCTCCGTGTTGCCTTAGCTTCGCTTGTTTACTTCGGATGGGGTGGTGGAGCTAACAGAACTGGGGCGCGGGGGGTACTAAGCACCCCCGTCAGGCCACGCCGTCGGACCTCAGTTTAAGCGAGAGCCGGAGGACCTAAGATCGGAGGAACAGCCTCAACCCCGGAAGGAGGGGCCCGGCTCGCAGCGCGCCTGCCCGGGCGGGGAAAGGACGCCTCGCATCAGGGGCGTGGCCAGCCCTCATTCGGGGGGAGTGGGCGCGGCCCGGAGGAGCGAGGGCGGGCAGCCCGCCCCCACAGAGCGGTCCGGGGAGGGGCGGGGGCCGGGGAAGACGCCCCGGCCCTCCCGCTCCGGCGCTGGCGGGGAGTGTGGGCGGCCAGAGGCCGCTCCCGCCCGCTTAGCTGGGCGATACCAGCTAGAGTCCTGGGGCGTGAACGCTCACAATCCGTGAGGTCCCCCAAAAGACCCGACCTTGGCTTTCTCCTGTGGAAAGTGGGGTCCCGTTAGGGGCCGGACAGCGGGTGGGAGGGGCTTCAGCGATCCCACCGTCGCCGCCTCGGCGAAAGGGGGCGTCGAGTGGCTCGGAAAAATGGCCCGCGGGGCGTGATCGCGGGCTTTCCTTTGGCGGCGTTTTCGTTTTATTAACTGAGACAGTGCGGGTCTGTCTGAAAGGGAACTCCCTTTCCCCTAAACCCCGTCCCTCCAGAAACCCCGCCGACGTGGCTCTCGGGGATCTTCCCCGAAACTGTTCTGGATGCCCACGGGAATGCGGGCGTGCCGCAGGTCTTTAATAGAGCCCCCACACAAAGAGAAGAAGGTCTCATTTGCTTCTTCCACGAAACCGGGAGCGGCGCCCGCCTTCCCGTGCCTCTCAGGACACAGGCCTCCGTCATCTTTGGCGTCCTCCGGGGTCCCCGGGCCAGGCGGACGCTCAAGGTCTGCCCGGTTTTCACTGAGGCACCAGCGAAACAATGCCCGCCCCTCCGCGCGCAGGAAAGGGTTGGCGGGCATGGGCGGAGTCGGATCTACAGAGGAGGCAGGGTCCCCCGGCCGGGTCGGGGCTCCACCTCTCGGCTCCCGGCGCCCGCGGGCGGGGACGGCACCCGGGGCGAGGCTTGGGGCCTACGTGCGTCGTGACACGACGGGGGGCGGGCCGCGGCCGGGGACGTCCCCTCTGCCCTCCCGGAACCAGTCTCCACTGCTGCCGCCCGAACCGGGGCGGCGAAGGCGGGTCCTCCAGAGCCTTCGAGTCGGGGCCTAGAGCGGCCAGGCCATCGAGCCGGGTCGAGCAGGGACTGGCGACGGCTGCGTCACGCGAGGGGCGGGGCCGTTGCGGGCGGAGGCCGGAGCCGGAAGCGGAAGAGGCGCTCGGAGCGGGGAGTGGGGCCTAGCCGCAGCCGGATCCTGGGAGACGGTGAGTGTGGGCCCAGGCCCGCGGCGGCGGCGGCGGCAGCAGCGGCGGGGGGTGAGTCGGCAGGACGGGCGCGCTGGGTGCAGGTCTCCGGGCTCCCGGTTCCGTCTCGGCCTTGTCTCTTTCCTTTCTCCCCTTCGGCCCGCCTCTGGCCGCGGCCGCGACCTCTCACCCCTGACCCGCCGCTTCTCCCCCGGAGGGGCGGTCACCGCAGACCCCGACCTCTCGATCCCGCGGTGTCGGAGTCTGAGCCAGAGCGGCTTCTGAGGCCCCTGCAGGGATCCAGTTTCTGCCCTGCACCTCCCGCGGAATGGGGTCGGGGTCCTACCTGGGAGAGCCTGGAGGGGCCTTCAGACCCCTCCCATACCGTCTGCTCGAGGCCTGCAGACTCCTCCTCCCCGCGCGGCCTGAAGTTTGATTCTAGCTCAGGCTGGCCATCCGCCTGTCTCCCGGGTCGCCCCTCGCCGCTACTGGCGGCGGTTATGGGGGAAGGGGCTCAGATCTCTGAGACCCAGGGCGCCTCAGGAAGGGACGCGAGCGAGGGCCATAGGCCTCCAGCGTGTTTTGTTGTGATGATGGAGCCGCTCCAGCCCGGGGGAGGGGCTGGGCTAAGCTGACAGTACAAATGCCCGGGCTGCTCCCTGGACCGGGAGTCTCTGTGTGCTTTAGTTCCGGGTGCGGGTGCCCTGGCGTGGAGCTGGGGTGGGAGTTGCCTGGGCCAGGCCCCCGTCGAGGCGGAGTTGGCTGCCTTCCTGCTTCCCTCCTCCATGCCCTTGAAAAGGAGGAGCGTTTCACCCGGTGGTGGCGGCTTGTAAGGTGGCAGGTTTGAGGTTGCAGTGGTGGGGCAGCGTTAGCCAAAAATAACCATGGGGCGCTGGAGTGCCTGGGATCCGGGAGGGCAGATGCCGACCTGGCTGGCTGCTCTTCTTGTCAACCCAGTTCTCTGGCCAGGAACTGCAAATGAGAAGTCAACTAGGCCTATGCTCAGAAAAGCTGGCATTCTTGGCCTGGTTTCCTTTACGTTATCTCTTTCTTGGCTGTGTAAGAGCAGAGCCTTCCTGAACGTAATTGTGACCCTTCGCTTCCTTAACCTATTTGCTGGGGTCTCAGAGCTTCAGAGATAATTGAAGAGAAATGGGATCTAGAGCCTTGGCTGGGAAGATAATGAGGGACATCTGGTATTCCCAATATTTCCCCTGCCTAGAATGTGTTGAAGCAGAGGTTATCTCCTCTCTGATTACCTTGTGTGGTACTTTATAGCTCTCATCCCTGTCATCTCCATCGCCAAGTTGGCTGGGAGGTGTTGTCTCCCAGTTTTCAGGTATGGTGACCAAGGCCTAGCGTCATGAGGCCAGTAAGTGGCAGCACTGGGATTTAGTTTGGGGTTTTCTACCCAGAGCTCTCTTTCCCCTTGGAAGGGACTTAAAAAGTATCTTTTATGTCCTAACATAGACCCAGAGGTGTTGTCTGGAATCTTTTTAACCTTGTTAATGAAAAACTGACTTCATTAATACATTTGACTTAAAGGCATGTGCTAGGCACTGTTAAAGAAGTGGCATAATTTAATCCTCAGCCTTATAAGAGATTACTGTCCCCTTGTTGCAAGAGGAGGTTGAAGGTCAGAGTAGTTTCATCTTCCATGTCACTTAGGGAGATGTGAGATACTGCCTTCATTCCATAACTTGGGCACCTGACCCAGGGTAATTGCAGGAAAACAGTGAAACATTAGTCAGCTGATCGTCAAAACAGAATAGCAGTTTAAGCTCTTGAGGAGCTGTCAGTGATGTTACATAATATTTACCTCCAAGGGTTGCTGGGGCCTGGGATTCCAGGTAGATAGGGGAAGAAACCTGCTGGTGGGAGATCAAGAGCAGGGATTTTCTCAGGATCATGGAGAAGCTCCCAGGGGTTTAGTCAGATGTGCCTGGCCGCCCTGCCCATCCACAGGGAGCTGGTTCATTCTGGTCTCCTGACAGACCCTTCTCATGAGATGGGACCGCCTCAGTGGGTTTGTCCAAATGTGCTTAGTCAGGCGAGCCCAGGACTGACCACCACTGGAGGTTGGCTAAAGCCAAGTAAAGGGCTGGGAGGAAGGCTGGCCAGTGTTCTGGGTGTGGGTGGAACAGTGAGCTGGCCTCACATAGCCGTCTTCCTTAGCAGGTGTCTGATCCAGCCTGACAATTTCCTGTGGTGGATTTAAGTCCCTGCTGAACAGGGACAGTGAGGTAGGGCCCTTTTGGCCTGCCTCTCCAAGCACAGAAGCTTGCCAGGCACTCAGCCCTTCAGCTTCTCCTGAGATGAGCACAGGAGAGGGGACTGGAACAGGGGGTCTAGCAGCGGTGGTACAGTTGGAGGCGAGGCACTGGCTGGCATGGCACCGCAGCTGGTCAGAGGGTGCCCCAGGGGTCTTGGGCAAGAAACTAGGGTGCTCTGAGGATGCTGGCATCAGTTTACTGGTGCTGAGACAGAGCGTCGAGCAGCAGGGGCTGGACAGACCCCCAGGTCTGTTTGGCCAGCCCCTCGGATCGGCTAGGGAATGTTTGTAAGACCCTGTGCGCCTCCTTCTCCAAGGACTGGTCTTCTCATTTCTGCCTGTGGCCTCTCACACTGATCTGTGGTCTTTGCTCCCTTGAGTGGAGTCTAGTTCAGGGCCTCAGCCAGGCAACTTGGCTTCAAACTTGAGGGCTTTCACCCTTTGCTCCTGTGTGTTGGCTCCCTGCCAACAGCCCTTTGACTCTGGCCTCTGGCTTGACAGACCAGTCACTTCATAGGACCCCACAGACAGGAGGGAGCTGTGCCCAGGAGGCTCTCCTCTCTCCTTGGCCTTGGTCTCCTGGGATGGTGCTTACCAGCCCCGCCCCCTTCTGTCTCTGCACCTGTGCTGGCTTGCCCCGGTGCCCCGAGCACTCAGGCCCCCAGGCCCCGCGATGCTGTGCTGGGGAGGCAGCTGTTTGTTTGTTCATTGGCACAGAAGGGTGTTGCCCGTTGTGTGCTGTTTGACCAGTGTGACCTCAGAGCTCTTTTTTGCTTCATAAACCCGTGGGAGGGGCTGCCCCCAAGCACAACAATGGGCCTCTTCTTCAGGAGCGCCTAGGCCCCCGGAGCAGCCTGGGGGGCTGGCCTCCCGGCTGCGCATTAAGCAAGGCTCTCTCTTCCCCGCGGCCTAGATGCATCACTGTAAGCGATACCGCTCCCCTGAGCCAGACCCCTACCTGAGCTACCGATGGAAGAGGAGGAGGTCTTACAGTCGGGACCACGAAGGGAGACTGCGGTACCCGTCTCGAAGGGAGCCTCCGCCCCGGAGATCTCGGTCCCGAAGGTGACAGGGGGCTAGGTGGGAGGGAGGGGCTCCATCGCTCGGCGGGGCTGGGGAGACAGCGTGGAGGCTCATGGCGGCCCTGGGCTCCTTCGGGGCCTGCCGCCTCTGCTACTGTGTCCCCCCACCCCACCCCACCCCCCAGAGCTCAGCTGCGTTCCCGGGCCTCTGTGTTCGCTGTCGTCCTGTTGCCCCTTTCTCTGTCCCTGAGTCTTCCTTCTCCAGACACGTTCCCCAGCATCTAGGCCGGCATCTCCCCTGCCGACTTCTGAGCCTCCCTCGGTGGGGTTGAGAACGCACCCTCTGTCCTTTCCGAAGCTTGGCCCCTCGTCCTGTATTAGCAGCCACAGGGAGCTCTGGGGCGCTGGGACCCTCCAAGGCCCGGTGCTGAGCCTCCTGCCCTGGAGGGGTGCTGCCAGCTGCCCGGGTTCCAGAGGCGGGACTTCATGCACACGCTCTACCCCCACCCCCACCCCCACCCGATGTCTCCGCTCCAGCAGGCTGTCCTGGGAGCTCTTTGTGGGGCCTCACCACACGCCTTTTGCCCAGAAGCGAAACCCGGGCTAGTGGGAGGAAGGTCCCCAACTTACTGATGTCCTCACCCCCCTCCCGGCAGCCACGACCGCCTGCCCTACCAGAGGAGGTACCGGGAGCGCCGTGACAGCGACACGTACCGGTGTGAAGAGCGGAGCCCGTCCTTCGGCGAGGACTGCTACGGGTCTTCACGTTCTCACCACCGCCGGCGGTCACGGGAGAGGGAGCCGTACCGGGCCCGCAAGCACGCCCACCACTGCCACAAACGCCGCACCAGGTCTTGTAGCAGCGCCTCCTCGGTGAGTGGTGGCCAGAGTGTGCTGGCTGGGGCTTCAAGGCCCCATCTCTTTCTAGCCTTCTCTCAGGCTGGCTGGTCTGGGTGAGTACTGCCAGCCCCGCGCACGCGCATTGCGTGTGCGTGCGTGTGTGTGCGTGTGTGTGTCTGTGTCGTCTGGTCCAGGCGCAGGGCTGAGCGGGGGGGGGCCCGGCCCCTCCGACTTCTGGCCGTTGGCGGCGGCGGTGAGAGGGGCTCTGGTTCCGGCGCCGGCTGGTCCCCCGGCCTGTCTGCGTCTCCACGCTGCTCCGGGCCCCGGGCCATGTGGTGCGCGTGGCCGGGGACACTTAGGGAACCTGATAGGGTTGCTGGTATGTGGTCTGGAGCTGCGTGGCCAGGTCCCTCCCACCCGGAGATGGCCCGCAGCCGCAGCCCTGGGCGCTGGCTGGAGTGCGCACAGGTAGGGGAGGCCTGTCAGCTCAGGCCAGGAGCTTCCCCCTCTGACCTCTGACCTCGAGCCAGGCCCTCTGCAGCCTCGCCTCTTCCCGTGAGGGGCGGTCAAGACAAGGGGGACAGGCCGCCCGTGTGCCGGGGCGCGTGGACGGATGGCAGGAAGGCCCGCAGTCCCAGGCCTTGTCTGGTTGCCGGCCACACGCCGGGAGCGGGGCCTGGCCGTGTCGGGAGCGTGGAGGCGGTCTGGATCTCTGCCACGCTGCACTCGGGGGCCCCTCGTGTGTCTGTCAGGTCGCGTGCCATCTTCTCCTCTCCTCCCCATCCCTCTTCCCTCCCGCCGGCCAGGAGGCCCCTGAGGAGTAGCGGCGGGACCGGTGCAGGGGCCAGGCTTCTCTTCTGCTCCGCTTTCCTGTGACTTCCTTGAGCGGCCACGGCTTGAGGGTCGACCGCGGGCGGCCCAGCGCGGCCTGGTGGCCTCTGTGCACGCCGCCACGCACTGCTGCAGGATGGCAGCGCAGGTCTGTGGCCCCGCTTCTTCTCTTCCGGGTGCCCTCTGTCGTCAGGAGGCGCGGGACGGCCCGGCCTGTGAGATCGTGGGCGCCGAGGCCAGGGCCGAAGCTGGCGTGGGGCCCGTGTGGGCCGTCGTGGTAGGAGGGTCGCCCGGCCCGCTGAGGCTGGCGGCATGAGGGCCGCCGGCGGAAAGCCGTTTCTGGTGGCGACGGGAAGTGTGGCCGCGGAGGCCCGTGTGGGGGCAGGTGGCGGCTTGGCTCCGAGTGGCCGCTGTCGGGCATGCGCAGGGCCGCGTGTGCGAACTGAGGCAGGCGAGGGCCGGCCGGGCGTTGTGCAGCTGGAGCCAGAGTGGCCTCTGGCCGTTGTGGACGAGCGGACCCAGGCTGAGCCACAGCCACCTTCTTGCGCCGTTCTCGCTGCGTCTTCACGCTGGCTGGAGCCATCCCGGGAGGGCCCGGGAGGGGGACCCTCAGTGGCGAAGGGAGCCGGGGCCCGGGGCTCTCGGTGCCGCCCGGCCCCTCGGCAGCGGAGGCTTGGTCGTCTTTCTGAGCGTTTGCGGCGCCCTTCTCTTAGATAATGTCCGAGTTTTCTTTACATACCTGTAGCTGTTTTTACTTTTCTGTTTTTGAAGTCAGTTTGTGTCTTGACGTGTCCCTTGCAATATCCCTATCGTTATATATGCTGTGTGCCTTATGAAATGCTGGGATCTGGAAAATCCAACCAACCAACCCACCGGCTCCTCACCGTCTCCACCTCTGCCTTTGACTGACACCTCAATCTGTCAATCGGAACCGCCTACCATGCGATTGGTCGGATGGCGTTTCGGGGGGCGGTGCATGCAGAGAAGCCAACAGAGCAGTAAGCGCAGCAGCCGGAGTGTGGAAGATGACAAGGAGGGCCACCTGGTGTGCCGGATCGGCGATTGGCTCCAAGAGCGATGTACAGCCACCTTTCGTAAAACTTTACCTCTCTACTTTCTCCCCCCTTGTTAGACGAGACCTCTCCTGCCCGGAGGGGCCTCTAGTGCGCGTGGTGCCTTAGCGGGGCCACCAGTAATTGCCTGAATGACACAGACGCTAGCAACTTCTGTTTTTAAGAGCGTAGCCGTGAGAGAGAAACCTTTTTTGTTTTTGAGAATTTGAATGCTGTGAACTTGCAGGAGCTGCCGGCCGTCTGCCCTCCAGGCCCTCATGCCCTGCTTCTTTTCTCTCCTAGATGAGATCGTGGGGAACCTGGGCGAAGGCACGTTCGGCAAGGTGGTGGAGTGCTTGGACCACGCCAGGTAAGCGGTCCTCCTGGGCAGAGCCAGCCTGCGGTTCCTGAGGGCGGTGGGCGTCAGAGCCTCTCCCATGGCTTTCCAAAGGGTCGCGCCATAGGGTGCTGGCCTGGGCGTGTTGGGCTTCTGCTGATCCCCTGAAGTAGGAAGAAATTCCCGGGGCTCCGCAGGCATGTGGCCTCCCTGCCCACGAACTGCTGGCTGGCGAGGGGCGCTGCCCTGGCAGCCTCTCGGCCCCCCGGGGCTGTGGTGGTGGCTGTGGGGCACATGGCCGAGGCCCCGGCTCTTCAGTGGTCCGGGTCCGCTTCCTGCCATCTCATGGCGGGTTGGGCCTGCGTGGGGGTTGGGAATACTGCTGAGCCCAGATCAAGCCTGAGCCCCCCCTGCCCCGCTCGGGAGGTCTGCCTGAGAAGCTGTGCACGGCCCGGTTGAGAGGAACAGGACTCGGGCTCTCTGACTTAGCCGGCCGCCACCTTCTCCCGCGTGGCCAGGCTTGATTGCGGGTCCCTCTGAGTGCGCAGGTAGAACAGGGCTCTATCTGTGTGTGTTCGGGTGCTTCTGGGGAGTCTTGCTGCCTTCCAGGCTGCATGGTGAAACGCTCTTGTCCCCTCGCCATTCCTCCAGACCAGAACTCATGCCCCTCTACCTTAGGCTGGAAGGCTGCCTCCTGGGAGCCCACTGCGTCCCTCTTCTAATGGCACTCTCACTGGTCTGGTGCTTTAGCCACCAGGTGCTCGTGTCCTTGCTGTGTCATTTGAGCCACGTGCCGCCCATCACGACCTTTCCAGTGTGTTAGAGGTGAAGAGATCTGACCCATACCCCCCAGGTGTTGAGTGCTGGCACCGAGTACCACCGTACGGGGTGCTCAGAAAGGACAGTTGGACCTAGCCATCCAGCTAGCTCTGTGGCCTCCATATAAGGTAGTGACAGTGACTGACAGGAAATTTCCCTGGGCTCCCAGGTCCCACCCCTCGGACCCAGTGTGGCCCACCAGGTTAGGGCTGGGGCCAGTGGGCATGGGGATGTGTAGACCACACTGGGACCAGAGAGACAGGAGGCAGATCTGCGAGCTGTGACACACAGGGGCAGCTAAGCTCTCTGGGCCGTGCCCCCGAGTAGCTGGAGGGGCAGTGAGCCTCTGAAGTCACTGAGGGGCAGGCACAAGGCTCGGGGGACATTTAGGGGGTCCAGAGGGAGTTGGCCAGAGGAGTGGTTATGAGGGGGTAAATTTCACCTCGGCAAAAGGGCCTGATCCTCAGCCATCCAACCCTGGTGGTGGCTGCCCATGGGAGTGACGAGCTCCCTGTGTTGAAGATCAGAACGCCATTGAGGGAGCCTGGAGCAGGTGGCCTTTCCTCTGAGGTCTTTCTCTGCCCTGAAAATCTGGGAAAATGGGCGAGGAAGAGAAAAACAAGGGTATTCTCCAGAAGGTGCCTCTGCCCTGGGGCCTGTGAGCCTTTTCCTTGGGCACCAAGGCCAGCCTCCCAGAGGCCTTAAGGATCCACGTCCTTATGGGCCAGGGCTGTCTCACTCTAGTTCCCACTGGGCTTCTAAAGTCTGGCTGGCCCTTCCCGATAGCCGCCGGGCCTGGCAGTCGAACCTCAGCACGTTCCCTGCTCTGCTGCCATCCTGGAGGTGGCCTATGGGGCGGGGCTGGCAGATGGGAAGCGCAGAGCCAGGAATTCTTAAAATCCTCACTGACACTGAAGAGGCCTCCCGGGACTCGGTGGTTTCTGATACGTGCTGTGGCTGGTTGGTAGGCAGGCTGGGGGGGCTAGAGGAAGTGTAGTAAAGGGAGCGCCCCGGGGACTCGCAGCAAGAAGACCCTATTGCTGGCACCCTTACTCTCTTACCAAGGCTTCGTCCCATCGTGGAACCCCCACCCCAGGGGGCGCTGTTTGCCCAGACCTGGAGATGTGCTTTAGGAAGGTCAAAAGGTGCTGCGAGAAGGTTCTGGCTGGGATGGCCTGGCCAGGGTCAGGGCTGACTGGCTACAGGTCGGGTTACTGAGGGAGCTGGTTCCGGTGCTGGCCGGCGGGCTAGGCCTCTACTCTGCGCACTCTCCCGGGAGCTGGCAGTGGCTGGCATCAGATAAGCCCAGGCTGGCCCCAGCGTGCTAACTCAGAGACGCCAGGGGAGCTGGCGGGAGAGTGGAGGTGTGGCGTCACCTGGGGGCAGGCTGGGGGTCAGGTGTCTGCGCTCGCCAGAGCAGGTCCTGTTCCTGGAGTCCTGAATGGTGTTTGCCAGGAGTTGCCAGATTGGGGTGGAGGGTGGGGGGAGAAGGGCAGGGGCACTTCTGAGAACCTCTGCTTCCTTCCCGGATCCCAGAGGGAAGTCTCAGGTTGCCCTGAAGATCATCCGCAACGTGGGCAAGTACCGGGAGGCCGCCCGGCTAGAAATCAACGTTCTCAAAAAAATCAAGGAGAAGGATAAAGAGAACAAGTTGTGAGTGTCACGGGGAACCAGAGGGAAGCTCTTGGTGGGGATGGTGTCCGCTGCGGCCCCAACTGCCTAGACCCCCTGGCGGAGCCGTGTTCTCTCACCTGGTTGGCGCCAGGCCTTCTCCTGACGCGCAGGGCCGGGCGGCCGGGCCCAGAGCCGGGACGGCTGGCCCAGTGGGCCGTGCCGGAGGAGCCTTCGGGTTGCAGTGCGGGCTCCACCCCAGCCATGGTGTGGTATGCGCTGAGGCCGCCTCCCAGGCCCGCTTCCGCAAATAGGGGCCTCGTGGCTCACGGCGGGGGTCTTGGGCGGGGGTCAGACAAGACGCAGCCCCTTAGCTGCTGGGGCTCGCGCGCGTGCGCTGAGCAGTTCCTCTCCCGCCAGCCCCGTGCAAGCCGTGCAGGCTCAGGAAGCTCAGTTCCGGGAGCTGGAGAAAGGAAGGCACGATTCCATCTCTTTCTGAGGTGCAGGGATTATGGCCATGTCATAAGTCGACAGGGCCGGACCCCTCGGACCAGTCTCCCCCTCTGGCAGTAGGAGGAGGTTTAGTCCTCTCCCTGAGCTGATCTGGGTGACCTCTGATGGGAGATGTGCTCTTTGTCTGTAACTGGTGTTTTTTTTTTCATGAGCACGTGAGACCCAGGGGCCTGGGAGCAGGGACTGGCTTCACCTGAGGGAGGGGCGGGGAGCCAGCCCCCTAGCAGAGACTGAGCCCCACCCCCCCACCCCCATCATTCTCCTCTAGCCTGTGTGTCTTGATGTCTGACTGGTTCAACTTCCACGGTCACATGTGCATCGCCTTTGAGCTCCTGGGCAAGAACACCTTTGAGTTCCTGAAGGAGAATAATTTCCAGCCTTACCCCCTGCCGCACGTCCGGCACATGGCCTACCAGCTCTGCCACGCCCTCCGATGTAAGTGTGTGCGCCACCACTCCCCTGTTCACACCAGCACGCTGCCGACCATCGTGCCCGGCCCGAGAGGCACCGGGTCCCCTTGGGCTGAAAGGCTTTCAGGGAGGACTCTCTGGGAGGAGGCAGAGGCTTCTGTTGCCTCTAGGGGCGCCTGAGCCCGCCTATGCCCCGGGCACTCAGGAAGAAAGGAGAGAGTGCTCCAGAATCTGCCCAGCTCACGGTCTTGCAGAGGATGGAAAGGTTGAAGGCTGACTGGTAGATCCCAGCCCCAGGCGCTGCCCACACAGACCCTCCATCCGACTGTCCCTTCCCATCTGCCTGCCGGCCTTTCGGAGCCTCCTTTGGAGGTGCATGTGCCGCGCACCGCGGGATGTGGTGGTCTGCGCAGGGCAGAGGCTCCTTGGAGAGGAGGTAGATCGGCCTAGAGCTAGGCTGTCCCGGGTCCGCACAGATGGAGGGAGCAGGGGCGAGCACTCCCAGCGAGGGGAGCTGCTCAGTGAGGGCCCAGACTCCAGCATGTGCTGAAACTCACTCTGAGGAAGAGAGGGCCTGTTGTTGGGGAGAGGTGCATCACACCTCGGGGAAAGTCTTGACCACCAGCTGGGAGCCTGGAGCCAGAAGGTGCTAAGTGGCAGCCGGGTGCCACCATTGGTGGGGCAGGGACCGGAGGAGAAAGGTAGAGGTCTCCTCCCAGGCTGAGGGATGGAAAGAGGCAGGGCTGGCTTCAGGGGTGGCCCTGTGGTTATTATTTTAGTTCAGTGTTCTATTGTTGCTATCTTAACATTCTTTGAAACTTCTGAAAAAGGGGACCTGCGTTTTCATTTTGCCCCGGACCCACAAATAATGTAGCTGGTGCTGGGGAGAGGGAGCCTCCCCAGGCTGATGCTGCAGCCTCCAGGAGAGACTTGAGGAGGTTTTCTAAATGGGAAAAGCATCCCCTGCCCCTCTTGTAAAGTATCAGACCCGGCCAAGGCCCCAAGCACCAAGAACGTGAGAGGGAAGCCAGTGTGGAGGCAGAGGCCGCTCTGCTCCCCGGGCCCCCTGCAGAGGTTGGGGGTGCGAGGGTCGCCGGCAGGCCAGCTGTAGAGGTGAAATGTGGCCCAGCGCTGGCAGAGGGGCCTGAGAAGCAGCCGGGGTTCTCAAGGTTCTGCTTCTGTCCTTCCTGCTTCCCCAGTTCTACATGAAAACCAGCTGACCCACACAGACTTGAAGCCAGAGAACATCTTGTTTGTGAATTCGGAGTTTGAAACCCTCTACAATGAGCACAAGGTATGGGCCGGGAGAGGGCAGGGCCGCGCCCTGGGGTGGGTCCCCCACCGGGCCAGACTCCTGACCTGGCTTCCTTGCCTGTCAGAGCTGTGAGGAGAAGTCGGTGAAGAACACCAGCATCCGGGTAGCTGACTTCGGCAGTGCTACCTTTGACCACGAGCATCACACGACCATTGTGGCCACCCGTCACTATCGCCCACCTGAGGTGATCCTTGGTGAGTGACTGGATAGCCGCCACCCGACAAAGCGGACCGCTGTCAGGAGGGTAGGACTACAGGCTGGGACGCACCCGCCCCCGGGGGCTGGTGTCACCGTGGCGGCTCACTTGGCCGTACACAGAAAGGGTCTTCTGTTGGGGTTTGGGCAAGAACCCCGCCTCGCTGGAGCGGCAGCTGTCCTTTGACATCTGGGCTGGGAGCCCGGGGCTGAGTCTCACAGTCTCCCCCCACGTTGGCTTTCCAGAGCTGGGCTGGGCACAGCCGTGCGACGTCTGGAGCATTGGCTGCATTCTCTTCGAGTACTACCGGGGCTTCACGCTCTTCCAGGTAAGGCTGAGGCCTCCCGCAGCATGCGGCTCGCCTGAGTGCTGCTCCTCGGGCGGGCTACAGGGGCTGGCACGGGGAGCCCTATGACCACCCCCCGCCCCCCTTGGGCAGCACGCTGGGACACTCAGGCTCCTGAGGTCGGGGCAGTGGGGCGCTCAGGGCAGGAGGAGCGAGCATTTGAGGCAGGGGGCACAGCCTGAGGGAGGGTGCAGAGAGGGGCCGGGACGGGGCACATTCTGGGAAGAGTAAGGGAAGTCACTGGAGAGAGGTGCAGTGATGGACAAGTCCACCCGAGAGGTTAGGGAGCGTGCACTTGACCTTGAGCGAACAGGCTGGCCACCAGGTCAGAGGCTGGGACTACTGTTCACTGGTGGGTTCACATCTCTTGGGGGCAAGGAGTGTCCCTTATTTTTTTGAGGGGCCAGAGGCTGGTACTGACTATCCCTGCCGTTTCAATAGACCCATGAAAACCGAGAACATTTGGTGATGATGGAGAAGATTCTAGGGCCCATCCCATCACACATGATCCACCGTACCAGGTAAGGAGCCCTGCTGGTGCCCTCGGGGCTCCTAGAAGCCCTCCCTCCTGTCCCCTACTCTGGGTGACCTGGCAGACCACTTGCCCAGACCTTCCCGCCCTGCTGCACCAGGCCAGCTGGGTTCCCCCGCCTGGCTTTGCGGCCAGTCCCCAGACTGCCGCTATCTGCTCCCCAGCCCCCACCCAAGACACGTCTCCCCCTGCCACCCCTAGCGCTTGACCCCTTCCTTTCCTCTGCTTTCAGGAAACAGAAATATTTCTACAAAGGGGGCCTGGTTTGGGATGAGAACAGCTCTGATGGCCGGTATGTGAAGGAGAACTGCAAACCTCTGAAGGTCAGTTTCTGGCTTCCCCCAGCTCAACTCATGCCAAGGAGACCCCAGGCACTGGGCAGACATACAGCAGAGACAGGCCAGGCAGCTAAAGGCTGCCTCCTCGCTCCGGCTCTATGGGAGGCCACACCGAGGCTGCTGGGTGCCGGCCGGCTGTGGGGCTGCTTGCACACCGCCCCCGAGGGGCCCTTAGCCCCGCCCCTTCCCCACAGGGTGGCTATGGATGTAATGGGGGAACACCAGAAGAGCCAGATGTCAGAGACCCTGCTGCTTCCTGTCCCCCTCTTCTCTCAGTTTTGGGAAGAACTAGGCAGGACTGAGGTGAGGGGGAGGGAAGACATAGACCTGGCCAGAGAGCCTCTGTCAACTGCATTTGGTGCCCGGACAAGTGAATTCTGCAGAGGTGATTCTACCCAGCTGTCAGGACTTTGCATGCGGGGGCAGAGGCACCGAGCCAGCAAGACTACCCAGTAGCCTGACAAGTTCAGAGCCAAACGCTCTACGCAGGCATGAGAGGAAAGGAGCGGCTCACTGTCCAGGAGGGCAGAAGTAGTCCTCCAGGGAGGCAGCACTGCCTCCTCAGCCCATTGCAGCAAGGCTTCCCAGAGGCACAGGGACCTGCTGTGGCTTACCACGACCCTGCCATCACACTGAGGCACCTTGTGTCCCTGAGCAGAGTTACATGCTCCAGGACTCCTTGGAGCATGTGCAGCTGTTTGACCTGATGAGGAGGATGTTAGAATTTGACCCTGCCCAGCGCATCACACTGGCGGAGGCCCTGCTGCACCCCTTCTTTGCTGGCCTGACCCCTGAGGAGCGGTCCTTCCACACCAGCCGCAACCCAAGCAGATGACAGGCGTAGGCCCCCCCGACGAGCTGGAGCGCGGGACTGGGCTGCCCGGCCTTCTCTCCAACCTCCACCACCAGGCCTCAGGGCCAGAGCCACCCAGCGAACAGTGCAATGTGAAGGAAGGCCGGAGCCTGCAGGGGACGAGACTTGATGCCCAGCTGCCAGAAAGCACAGATTTGACCCAAGCTATTTATATGTTGTAAAGTTATAATAAAGTGTTTCTTACTGTTTGTAACCCCTGGTACCGGTGTGTCCGTCTCCAGGCTCCTTGCCTTCCCCTCCCCCTACCTTATTAATAAAGTCTTTCTTAGCAGTTCAGCTTGTGGAGAGCTAAGTGTGAACTGGGCTGGCACGGAAGGGCTAGCCAGTGACAAGACAGATGCCGGGTGGCCCTCTGGGCCCCAGAGAAGAGCCCAGAGGTGGCAGGCCTGCTGGAAGGCACCGGTTCCCCTAGGCCCCACGGAACCTAAGGCAAAGGGCCGACCGGGCCTAGCTTGGCAGCATATAGTTTCACCTCTCCTCCTGGCCCCATCACCGGCTGCCACTTCAGGCTGCACCTGCCCGAGAACTGTGGCCAACTGAAGGCTGGCGACCGTGAGCCAACCAAGCTGGGCTCCTGGGGCTGGGGGGAGGGCGGCACCTCACTGCGGCCCGCACAGCAATTTACTAGAGCCCAGGACTCTTTGTCATTCAGCTTTATTTTAAGTGCTGGTTTTTGGTTCCCCAAGAGCTGCATGGGTGATGGTCCTGACCACCTGACTGGGGCTCCCTGGGGACTGGGGGGGGGGGGCAGGATGCCTCTGAAGAGCTGAAGGTAGAGGAATCATGCTGATCTTTAATGGGACCGGGGAAGGCCCAGGCTAAGGGCAGGAAGAGGCTCCAGAGCCACCCACAGGGAGAAGACAGGCTTGGGCACGACCTCCCAGTGGCCCCTCAACAAGGCCCTCACCCCCAGCGCCACTGCAACTTACCAGATCAATCAGAGTCTGCTGAGCCAGGGCTCCTCAAGCTCCTCTTCCACCGTGCCCAAGTGGGGGACCTTACTGCACGAACAGGCAGGCACCCAGAAACTGTTTAATGGTTGCTTGCTAAAATGCCTATAACCCAGCACTGCTCCACAGACTATGACCCTGCCCCTAAAGAGAGGGCTCTATCTTGGGAGCTTCTTGGCCCTGAGAGTGAGCAGAGGCTCAGGGAGGATACACACAACAACACTCACAATCTCTGGCCTCCTCCCACCGCTGGAGACAATTTAACATTTGAGGGAGGACGGGAGGAAAAGAGGGACCAGCCCTCTGCCCTGCCTCATCTGCTCCTGGCTATGTTCCTATAAGAAAAGCGTTAAGTAGCCCGAAGCCCATGGTAGCAGGGCCTACCCTGTGTCCACGATCCTTGGCGAGCCCTCCCACTCACCCCCCTAAGCAGAGCGGGTGGGCAGAGAGAAGGTAAGCCTGAAGGCCTGAAAAAGGCTTTAAAGCATGAACTTTTTGCACGGGCCCCTGCCAGGGACTCCAGGGCATGGCTCCTGTTCTGAAACCAGCCTCCAAGGCCTAAGCCTGTGAGGTCCAAGGGCTTTCCTGCCTTAGGATCTGAGCAGCAGTATGCTCCTATGGCCGAGCCCCGCCAGCTGGCTCATCTAGAACTAGCCTCATTTTGGCATCTTTTGAGATAGGGCGCTGGCCCCAAGCATACTCATCTAGAGTGGACAACCATAAAGGGTTCAATGCCCAGATATTGTAAGAACTGGGGTGGGGCCCAGACAGGGGAGGGACATGCGCCCTGCTCTGGGACGACAGCTGCAAAAGACCGTTTCAGGGGAAAGAGACGGGGGGCACAAGAAAGGGGGGTATACAGGCAGGCAAGGAGATGGGAGCGGGGTAGTGGTGGCCTAAGACAGAAGCACCAGGGAGCCTCTTCTGGCTCAGCACCAGGCTCCCCCAGGGACCTCCCCAATACTGAACATTAAAGCTGCACCCTGAGGGCTCTGCCCCCAGCCAGAGAGGGTATGGGGCTGGGGGCACTGCTGGCAAGATGGGCACTGTGGTTCTATAGTAACATAATCTCGTACTACCTATGCTGAAAACAGAAAAACAGTATAAAATCCCAATACAGTAAAACCATCCTGATGCCACCCCCTTCCCTGCGTCTCAGAGTGATGGAGTGGAAAGGAAGAAGGACCCTTGAAAAAAATCCCAGCATAAAACTTGCATCAGCTCAGGAGAAAGGGTCAACAGTCCCCAATCAACTTGTGGTGGGGCTCTGGGAAGGCCTCCCCAAAGCCCTCAAAATGAACGGAGTGCAAGTCTGCCCTCTGGCGGCAGCTGCAGCACAGCCGGTTCAACATGATCAGGGGAAAGGCCGCCCGGAGGGGGGGCGGGGGGCAGAGGACCCGGAGCCAGAGCAAGAACAGGCCCCCAAACAGGACCCGCCCCACCCCGCAAGGTGCTGGCCCAGGCCCCAGTGACTGTAAACCTGAAACTCGGTCCGTGAGCTGCCTAAGTCTGTAAACAAAGCCCCACCCAGCCACGCAGGGGGCCAAGTGTAGAGATGTCGAGAGCCACTCAGCCTGCCGCCCACCCAGGACACCCAGTGGGAAAGCCTTCCTCAGCTACGGGCAGGTGACAGGTCATTTTTAAATATGATCTGTTCTCTCACAGAAGAAACAAATCCAAAAGCGAAAAAATTTAACAAGGTCCATGAAGCTTCACATCCTTAAGGCGTTCGTTGTCAAGTTCAGTGTGTCCGGAGCAGCAGGGGACTGCAGGATCCAACTCGCCCAGAGCCCCTCTAGGCAGAGTGCAATGGAATGACAAACTTGCAGCCAAAGGGTGAGTGGTAGCTGATGCCCACCTCCTGGAACACCTGCTGGGGGAGGCCGATGTCACACAGGTAGATGCGGCCCGCGCGCTCCCCCAGCGGCAGAGGCAGGCCCAGAGCCAGCGACCACTTGGCGTCGATACCCTGTTCGCCTTCATGCACGGGTGGGTCGATGCTGAGCACCGGCGCCCGGTTCCGGTTGGCCCAGGCCACCGCCGCCTTGTACCAAGGCTGGTCCCGCAGGAAGGCATTCTCGGGGCAGTCCAGGCAGTTGATCACCAGGTCCACGGGGCTAGAGGGCAGATCTGCGGGTGGAAAGAGCGCCACATGGGAATTGCTATAAGCAGAGAGCAGCCCAGGTGGGGACTAGAACCCAGATGGCCCCAAGGGGGTCTTGTTCTGACACCACTCCGAGGCCTCGCCACAGGCCGGCTTTCTCAAGGCTGGGCCAGGCCCCAGGACTTCCAAGGTTGGGCTGGGTACCAGAGACGACGTGTCAGCCCGATGGACCACCGTCCTCGTGGAGCCCCCAGGCCGAAGTGTCGTGCTGCTGGCCGTGCAGGTCATCTCTGGGCGCAGCAGATGCACATCCAACTAACACCCTAAGTACATTATGAGCTCTGAGAAGGGGGAGCCGACTGCCGAGTCAGCCCTCCCAGGGAGCCCTGCCCAGAGCCCAGCAGAAATGGGCGCTGACGGCCATGTGCGGAGTGGCCCAACTGCAAGCAGGCCAGAGCCTTGCGTTAGCCTCCTCACCCAACCGGAGCCAGCCTGGTCTTGCTGCATCCCGCCCCGCACCCCCACCCCATCTCATGAAAGTGGGCTCTCCTTACAGCCCAATCTTAGGGGTAGGGAGGGAACCGGTCACTTCTCCAGGCACTTAAAGTTTCTCTGCTCAAACCAAGCCTCTGGGAGAGACAGCATTAAGAAGAGATGTCTCAACAACCAACTAAGTCTTGACCAGCCTAAGAGGATAATTTGAGAATAGGAGAAATCAGACCAAATTCAAAGTCAGCATCCTCAGACTTGGCTCTTGGAGTTGAAATCGGGAAGCTTTTAGGTAGCCAGAGGAAGAATTGCCTAAAACAAGGCTTCATGTTACAGATCTCAAGCGGGGGAACCCAGAGTAGACCCACCTCCTGGCTACAGTAATGATATTTCTCAATTAGGGACTCAGGGCTTCCTTACTTAGAACAGACCACCAGGACAAGGGGGTGGGGGGATGTTGCCGGGGGTCAAGAGACTTTCAAGAGTAAGAACAGGGTCTTACTCTCCACATGCACACAGGAGCCTGGCCTGAGAGGAGACTGAGGTTCTGGCCCAGGGTCTGGCCCCAACTTGCCATCTGACCCCTGGCAAGGCCCTTTCTTCGTATTTCTTCTCTCTTCTTCTCCTCCCCCACTCTCATTAAAACCCACTCCAATCACTTCGTCCCCTCCACCCTACCCCACTTGAAATTGCTCTGGTTGAAATCATCAGGGGCTTCCACACAGCAAGATCCAGTGGTTGATTCTCAGCCTTCATCTGAGCCTAACCTAGAGCGGCTTGCTGGCAGAGCTGACCACACCACACCCCGTCTTCACTTGCCTTCCAGGTGCCAGGCTCTCCTGCTTTTCCTTCTCCCTCCCTGTCTCCTGAGCTGCTCTCTCAACTCCCTGACTTCTAACCAAAGAACTCAGACTTAACAATTTCCCTACCTCTTCCTAGAAGATAGCTTATCCAGGCTCGTTAGGGCTCATTCCCACCTACACACTCGGCACTCCAGGCTGGACCCCTTCACCTACCTGCGGACTCACCTGTATCAGTCAGCATTTCCACCTGCATATCCAACAGGCACCTTCCTCCCCAAACCTCCTCCCACAAGTCTTCCCATCTCAGGATGGCACCTCCATCCTTCTGGTCACTCAGGCCAAACACTTTGCAGTCGTTCTTAACCCTTCCCTGTCACATCCCTTACATCCAGTCTGCAGCCTCTAGCTCCAAAACTAACTTAGAAACTAACCGCCCTTCACCTCCTCTCCCACTACCACCAGCTGGCTGAGATCATCGGGGCTTCCACACAGCCACCAGCATCTCCTTCTGGTTTCGCACGATAGCCTCTTAACACCTTTCTTTGTAAACCTCTAGTCTACTCCCCAACAGCAGCTAGAGGATCATTTGGAATCTGTGCTGAATTCTACCTTCCTGCCACTTATTCCTCCAGTGACTCTCCATCTCAGCTAGGGTAAAAGTTCAAATGCTTACAGTGATCCACAGGCCCTTTACCACCTGACCCTGAAATGTCTAATTCTGCTACTCCCTACGCAACCCTCCAACCCTCTCTAGCTCCCTTCCCTACTTTATCTCCATAACACCACCATCTGGTCTAATAGAAAGGTTACTTCTTTGTCTCTTTGTCTGTCCTAAGTAGAATGAAGCACGAATTTAAAAAAAAAAAAAAAAAAAAAAGTCTACTGCCACACCCTCAGTGTCAGGAGTAGTACCTGTTCCATAAATGTTTGTAAAGTGAACAAGTGGGTCCCCAGCTCTCCATCTGAGTAGTGGGAAAGGGAGGACAGCGAAGGGATGGGAAGTAAGCAAGTCAACACCCGAAGTGTTTCCTTCGTGTACAGACTCCTAACAGGCAGAGGACACCTTGCATCCGTGATGTTCCACCTGTCGCCACTGGGCGGCAGCATCAGACCATCAAACTACGTGAGGAGGGGGGAGGCCGAGGCCCTAGCCCAGCCCGACGCGCAAGTGCTCACCTTTGAGGTTAGACACTTGCTGGCCCTGGGTCTTGCTGAAGAGAGAGAGCTCGTTGGTGATGGGCTCCAGCATCTTGACAAAGTTGGGCAGGAAGAGGATGACGTGGACATCATGGTTGGCCAGGTGCCTTCCGCAGCTGATCCCCTGCGCCCCTTTCACATGCGGGCCACACAGCAGGGCCACTGTGGGCCTCTGGTGAACATTTTTGGGATTCAACCTGGAACAGAAGGTAAATTAGCATTATCAGCTGCAGACCTGCCAATCCCTACGCCCTAAACCAGACAAGCGCCTCTCGGCACCTGTCGCTCTCCAAGTTCTTGGCAGCCCCAGGTCCCAGAGGGGGTGAAAAGCCACCCAACTCCAGGACTACAGGGTGGCATTCCCACGGTCCCACACCCCAGTGTCACTTCATCTGCTGGGTCCTCTCACTATAGGCAGTTCACCCAGATCTCGTTCCATAGAACACTGTTGCCAGAACACTGCTCTCTGACCAAAACACGTAACTGTTCCGTGGGACCTGCGAGGCCCAAACTCTGATTAGCAAAGAGGCTCCTCCACCTCGACAGCCTTCCTGGCTCTTCTTCCCTGGCCTCACTCTCTGCTGTTTCTGTAAGGCTCTTTCTTGCTTCTCCTCAGAGGATGTCCCCTGGACAGAAAGCCCTTCACTTGTCAAACTCTGACCCACCTTTTCTTTGAAATCCAGCTCAAGGCTCACCTCTTCCAGGATTACTCTGGCTCAACGCCTAAGAAACTCACAGTGAGGACCAAACAGGGCCGTTCTAAATCGTCCTCCATCAGGTGCCAGGCCAAGTTCTCTTTCCTGAGCTGCCAGTAAGCGAAATAAGGGCAACAGGAGATACTAACAGGATCTTCCACGGGATGCTGTGTGGATCAACGCACATATAGTACTTAGAACAGGGCCTGACCTGTTACAGCTCAGGTCACAGAGGAGGCAGCAGGCTAGGGGCTTCCTGGTCTCCTACACTGGCAGCTCCCTTGGATGTCCACTTCCTGATGAAGTCATTTCCAGATCCTGCCATCCAAAGCTGAGCCATAGGTAAGGAGGTTTGGAAGATTAACTCTGGAGCTGTTCCCAACTCACAGGCAGTGTGGTCTGCCTCCAGAGCGGAAGGCAGGGGGAGATGGACAGCAAGAAATGGGCTTAGGTCCCTCCTTAGCAATGACAGTCACTTACTGGTCTCCCAAAGGGAGGCAGATGACAGATGCTGTTCCAGAGAGGAAGCCCCTGTGCTCCAAATACATTTGGGGGAATTTAGCAATGTACTCTGCATATATACCAAACCATTCATTTCCCACACCACATCTGCATGTTAAGGAAATATGATGAGCACTTCTCCCTTCAGACAGACACCTGAGTTGTGGCATCTGACTTACCCATGTCTGTTCCTGAAGACTCTTCCTCTCACAGAGGCATCCCCCATCGGAGGACTCAAAGCAGACCCTGGCATCACACAGCTGACAGCAGAGGGCAGGGTCCAGACCCTGGCAACAGACCCATCTGGATGGGAGACCTGGCTCCACTACGTACCAGCACCACCAACGTGGGCAAGCCTTTCTGCTCTCTGAGCCTTAGCTTGCTCATCCTCAAACACCAGGCCACTATTCACCTTCAAGGTGAAGTCATCAGGACCGAATTAAACACAGCTGTGAAAGCACAGTGATTAAACTGCATGGTACTGGACACACATGAAGCAGATTACTAGCTGTAGTGATCCTTCTCAAAGGAGCTGCAGGAGATGGCCCTTCTGAGAGGTCAGAGGCAGTGAGAAAAGCCAGGTCCAAGGACAACCAGCCCTAAGAAGCTGGCTAGAGGGCCATGTGACGGGGTGAGGACATTCACACCCTGCCCCCACACTGCTGTTTCTGAAATCTGTCAGCAGCTCAGCTCCCTACTGCGAAGCTGTTGCAAAGCCCTACTTCCCAGTTCCAGAGAATGACTTCACAGATCCCAGCCACGACCACGGGCTCTGTTCTGTCCGCCCTCGGCACAGGCTACTCAGACCCGGACTCCTCACCCTGCCTGCTGGCCTCTGTTAATACCCCCTCCTCTGCAGGACTCCGCGTGGATGCTACTGCGGCTTCCCGGATGATCCTCTGTTTCCTCTACCACCGCGATGTACTTTCTGGAGACCTCACTAGCCTTCCAGAGGGCAGGTGTAGTATTTTATTCTCGTGTCCCTAGTCCTAGCACAAGGATTGGCACATGATATCAGTAAATGACCACAAATAAAATTAAGCACTGCTTTTGACATATGGGCCCAGAGGGCAGGTAGGAAGGCACCAAACTCCAGCTCTCCCACTGGGTGGTTCTAGAAGTTCTCAGGTATGGAACTCAGGATTGATCTCTGAGTGAAGGACAAGTGCCAAAGGCTGAGTCTCTGAAGGCTCTTAGAAGGCAGGCCTCTGGTAGCCAGCAGGAGTGTCAAAGCCAGCTGTTATCAGGAAAGAAAGGGTCAAAGGGCGGCTTGCTGAGACAATAATGAGGACTTCCGGGAGGTGGGTAAGCGGGGCAAACAAAACCCTCAGAGCACCCAGGAAAGGGACTTCACAGAGGGACGCACACTGACAAACTCCTCCAGCAGAGCAGCACCTCCCTACGCATAGCCCCCGCCAGTCCGGAGGCGTTTACCTGTTGGGTCCTCCGAGCAGGGTCAGGGCCATCTGGCTGGCGCACACTCCTGTCATCTCCAGTCTCCGCTCCAGAGTCAACCCGTGCTTCTCAGCCACAGACAACAGCTTTTTATGCAGTTCATAGGAAACACTTGGGACAACCAGGCCAGAGTCTGCCGTTCAAAAGGAGGTGAAGAGAGAAAGGGAAAGTGATTACAGGAAACCAGATCCACAAATGTCTGTACTTGAGCCAGGATTCTGTGAAAGCCAAGACTCTGAGACTGGCCCTCCCCTGGCCTATCGGCCTAATGTGGGTCGGAGGTGTACCATGGAGCCCCCCAGAGTAGCGGGTGGGGAATTAACAACTTGCGCCCGGTCCCAAAGAGCAGGGGCAAGCTTAAGCTGTCTTAGCACTTGATTCTTTAAGATTTTATTTGAGAGAGAGCGAGCGCATGCATGCAGGCACCCACGAGCAGGAGTGGGGGGAGAGGCAGAAGGAGAGAGATGAGCAGACTCCCTGCAGAGCAGGGAGCCTGACACGGGGCTCCATCCCAGGCCCCGGGGATCACGACCTGAGCCGATAACCGACTGAGCCACCCAGGCGCCCCCCTCATAACAGTTCAGCTTCAGACCACAGAAGCCAAAGCTACCTGGATCGCTCGGGTTATTACAGGGAAAGGCTGGCACAGCCTGCAAACAGCAGCCCGTGCGCCACGTCAGAATAGAACAGGCTTTTCTCCAAGCGGGGGGAATGGCACCCCTGGCAGTGGGACTGTCCTCACAAGCAGACCCCTCCTTCCCCACGAGTGGAACAGATGCCAAGCCTCTAGGCCGCTGCCCGCACTGTGCCGTCCCAGATCCCGGCTGGATGACTTGCCCATCCCATCCGCTCCCCACTTCCTCCTCCTCCTCCTCCTCAGCCCTTCATTTGCTTAAGAAATTTAATTAGCAACTTGTTTTTTCAAATAATTTGTCATTTTCTCCCAACATTTGGGGCGAATGTAACCTAATGCTCAAACCTCAGGGCAAGAGTACATGGAAAGCATCCTACTCAGAAGAATCTTGAACATTTTATTTACCATAAAAAAAAGGAACTCTATAAAGGTTAGGGAGAATCACTCGAAGTACAGCATGGAAAATACTTGGTTTATAAGGCCAAAGTCTGCAGCAGCTGAGACACTTGAGTCTTACCTGCATTAGCACCAACATACGAGGTGCCATTTCAGGGCCCAGAAAACCAGGACAGGAAAGAAACACCAAAGTAAAAAACTGTGATCTGTAATGAGCAGCTCGTCTTGACAACCAATGCCATCTGACAAATACTAGAAGCCACTGGCCTGGCCCCAAGGGAGCAGACCTTTGCCAAAGAGCCCCATTTGGCCTCACTGGCTGACAGACCAACGCACACAGATTCCAATTAGCAAGTCATCGTGGGACTGCATGTAACTAGTTTTGTCTGGCTGGATCAGATGCCTTTTCAGAGCCTGTGTCTTCATCTATACTGGACTGTAAACTCCTCAAGGCAGGGAAATAAACCCTTTACTTCTTTGGCCCCCATCTCAACTTGCTTCAGCTACATTTATCAACAGAGGTGAGTTCTCATCAAGTACTCAAACATATAAATGATGCAAACCTAGTGCTATATCTAGTCTGGCCTAACTCTATGGTAGAAGTTTTCAGGAAGTTCATCATCTATCCTACTGGTTGCAAAGCCCTGTCTAGAAAAACCTGTCTGCCTCCCTGATCATTTCAGAAATAATTTCTTGAAGTTCTATCAGATATCCAGCCCTGCCTCCACAGACTCTTAAAACCACACAGACGAGGCTATGGCAGTACATTTGAACAACAGGAATCCAAGCACAAAGACTGAAGCCAAAGCACCAAGGTATATATCCTGTCAAAGGAAGGTGAAATAGTAACTTAATGTAGTAATAACAATAAGAGATGTCTACACATCAAAATTAATGCTATCCTGTTGGTTAACTGAAGCCTTCTACCTGCCTGAGTCCTATCCCAGCCTCGGCGCAAACAGTGCCATCAGGAACATGGATGGTCTCTTCTCTCTTTCCGAAATGTCAGTTCTAAGTGCCAATGCTGGAGGCTGCAGCCTGACCTTGCATGTCAACAGCTGATTAAAACAGCCATTTTTATGGCCTGCTCCAGGCACGCACATATTATCAGAACTAATTAGGAATCATTGATAGCAGCGTGAAAAGGCCAAAGGAATTCTCAGGAGTCCTAAGCCACTAACCACCTTAAACCTGTCAGACAAGTCATGCCTACTTCAAACACCCTCTTTACCTGCAAAGTCACGCAAGAGAGAGCTTTCCTTTGACCTGTGCATTTCTTCACCCATTTATCTGCTTTTGGAGAATCTGAAACGGGTCAAGGTAGGGGGTCCTGAGCATGTCACCCTACAAGTCAAGCATCCTGTGGGTCTACGTCTTGTGCTGTAGGCGCAGGCACCTCCCTCTCCCATCCCGAGGGCCCTCTGGAGGCAGGCTGAGCATTTTCTCCTCACAGTCCTGAAAGGTACAAAACTCACAGTACAGGGAGGGGAGAGCAGAGCCCACAGCCCGGCTGGCTGGCTGCTCCAGCGGGGAGCTCACTGATGCTGGGGAGCGCTGCTGATGAGCTGGCACACTTTGTAGCCTAGGGCAAGACAAGGCCAGGGTCCTTCCTCCTCAGTCTGCCAGTTACAGGGCCTAGGACTCTGCGGTACCCTACTCCGTTTCCCTGAAAGGGACGTGCAAGCACCACAAAATGTTCCTTTTCAACATTTACACGTAAAGTCCCACCACCAGTCAGACTGGCTTATCAGAAACAGGCAGAGGGAATAAAACAAACTCCAAAGGAAGGGAACCAAGAACATAGCGTGTAAATGGCAAACAATAACATTGCCAAAGCCTGAACATGAGCCAAGCCTAATTATGTTTGGGCTGGCAGGTGGATCTTCATTGTTCTGGAACCAAGGCAATAAAATCCGTTGGTAGGGTTTCTCTCACTATGTATTTTACAGCTGTTGGTGAAACAAGAAAGGGAGATATAATTACAGCCAGTTCGTGACAAGCAGAGCACATCTTAGGATCTGATTAACCTTAGGGTATCCAGGAAAACAGCTTAAGCACACTCTGTACAGAGGCTGGAGACAAGACTCCTCCCCAAACAGCTCACTCCACAGCATGAGGCTGGGGCCCTGCAACCTCACAGGCCAGCCACCACAGTGCCTGCTGCGGCCTCCCCTTCTTCAGGTCTCTCTCACTTCCACAGGCTCCTTCCAGTACATACGACTTAAGGCCTCTGCCTCGTTCTCACACCCCCAAGCACCATGTCCAAACCTTCTCCAGCAGCTTCTGCGTGTACATCCCTCCCTGTCCTTCAAACCTCCCAGCCTTTTGGTTGTGTGACAAGCCTCCCACAACAAAGTGTCAGCTCCGATCTAAACTCAATCCTCACACTGACATGGCCCTTTAGTTAGAAAGGCTGTGTGCGCCCCATGTGTTACCAATGAGGAGCACAGCTCATCGAAGGCTCCATGCCTCATGGAGGGCACGGGATTTCTCCAGGACTATGAATTCTGATTCCATTCTGTGGGGGTCACACAACTGTGGGGGGATATCACACTGGTTTTGTTTTGTTTTTTAAGTTCTTACTTTAATTACCCAGTGCTCATCACAGCAAGTGTACTCCTTAATCCCCATCACCTATGTCACCCACACCCCCCACACCTCCCCTCTGGTAACCAGCAGTGGGTTCTCTATAGCTAAACACACGGGCTCTTTTCAGGAGTATAAACCAGTAAATTCATACCCTCAGACCCACACTGTACAAGAGAGGCCCTGTAGATTTACATGAAAGCTACACAAAATGAAATTTGGTGTCAACTGTATCTCTGAAAGAAGGATTTGTTACAAGAAACCTAAATACTCAATACTCTTTATTAGGGCCCACAAGCCCTCCATGATCTGGCCCCTGTTTACTTTACCCCCTTTACCTTGGACCCCAACTCCCACCATGCTCCAAGGCACCTTGGCTGCCTTCTGGTTCCTAAACATATTCCAAGTCCCTTCTGGCCTCAGGAAGCATGTCCCCTTCTCCTGGGACTCTTTTCTCTCTTCCAATGTTCTACCCACACTCATAGCTGGTCCCTCATTTTTCTTAAAGAAGTCCCTCATTCGTCTTCTTCTCCTCTTCTTAAATATCCCTCAGTCTCAGCAGGCTGCTTATTTTCTTCACTGTACTCAACACAACTTGTAAATAACTTTTTTCGTTTTGGACTATCCACTTTGCCAGACTGCAAGCTCCATGAAGGCAGTGACCGTGTCTGTCTTGTTCACTGCGCTAGCCTGTTCTTCACGGTGCCTTCAGTGTCAGCACAGGGCCTGGTCGGGTCTACATAAATATGTGTGGAATTAATGAAAGAATGGGAAGGAAACCTATAAAACTGCCTCAGCGAGTTCCATTCTGCAGCTGGGTAAGAGCCCAGCTGTAACCAAAGGTAAGTGTGGGTGAGATGTTTCAGATTCTTTCCCCACCTTTTCCTTCCCCCACTTACAACAACTAGACAAACCCCCTGTCCACCCTGGACCTCATTCCTTCAGGTTAAAGCTCCACTGAAACAAGCTTTGGACTCAAGAGGTAAAGGACCTCCTGACAAGATGGCTTATTAATTATGAAGGGGAGAAGTATCTTTACAAAGAAGAAACTCGGTGGACGATACCTCACCACATGATTAACTCAGCCCCAAAGGTGAGACAAACTGACACTGTATATTCTTACGATGTGATACCAAAATCGTGGGGAAAATGTTTAACATGAATCACATGGAACATAAATCACATGAATCAAAAGGAACAATCGGGGCACCTGGGTGGCTCAGCTGGTTAAGTGTCTGCCTTTGGCTAGGGTCATGATCCCAGAGTCCTGGGATCAAGTCCCCCATCGGGCTCCCTGCTCAGCAGGGAGTCTGCTTCTTCCTCTCCCTCTCCATCTGTGTGCTCTCTCTTCCTCTCTCAAATAAATAAATCTTAAAAAAAAAAAAAAAGGAACAATCAGTAAATAAAACTAAGGGATATTTTGCAAATCAACTGGCCTAGACTCTTCATAAATGTCAATATCACAAGAGATGACAAAAGTTGTGGGAACTCTCCTGGTTAAAGGAAACAAAAGAGAT